GAATGGTGTTGTAAAATAATAATAATAATAATAATAATAATAATAATAATAAAACCAAAAAAAAAAAGATGCAAATTCTCCAAACAGCCAAGTTAGAATATAGAGAAAAGACAAAGAGATATGTTATTAAAGAGGATTTATGAATGATTAATAAACATATAAAAAGATGATCTTCACCATCAGTCACTAAATAAATACAAATTAAAACCCCAGGGAAATATCATTAATATATCTCTTTGAATGTCTAACTATGAAATGACTATACCAAGTGCTGAAGAAGATGGAGAGAACCTAGAACTCTTGCACATTGCTTGGAGAAAGGCAAAAACATTGCCATACTGTAAAATACTAGTTTATAGAAAAGTAATCTCATATATTCTTTGTGAAGAAAGGATCGCTTACCATTTGACTCTGCAACTTCACTTCAAGGTGTTTATTCAAGGGAAATGAAAACCTGGGTTCACACACAATCTTATACACTAGTGTTTAAAGTACCCCTATTCATAATTGTCAAAAATCGGTTCTATGTGTGAATAGTGGAGCTAATGAGTTACCTCTGTATAAGAATGATATGTGGATACATGTGACAACACAGATGAATTGTAAGTGTATTTTGGCGAGCTAGAGAAACAAGACTCCATTATATAAAACATACAGGGGCATCTATAGGCAAGACCATGTGCATGGAGTACATATCAGTAGTTGCCAGGTGTTAGAGGTAAAGAGAGAGAGCTACAAAATGGCAGTATGGGACAAGTTTCTGAGACGACAAAAACTTTACCCCACTCTGGTGTGAGCTATCTTACACTATATATTTGTCAAAACTCAAAGAACTGTACACCAGAAAGTGCATTTTGCTGTATGCAAATTTAAAATAACTTAAAAAACATGGAAAAGGTAAACCAGAGAAAGAAAAGGAATATGATATCAAAGCAGACCACTGAGGACTGAAAAATCCAATCCCAGTTCAGTACTGAGCATGCAAGTTTACAGGATGATTCTATTATAAAGACACCTTACTGGTGACAAAATACATGCCTCTTCCACTGGTTCTGTGTTTTTATTTATTTCTTGAGACAGTGTCTGCTATATAGTCCATGCTGGCCTCAAATTCATGATTCCCTGCCTTAATCTTCTGAGTGATGTGATTACAGGTCTGCACCACCACTCCTTGTTCTGTATGGTGCCGATTTTAGAGGGACACAAGGAAACAACTGGATGGTGGCCTGCACAAGGGTTACTCACACAGCATGGCACGGATTTGTTTGCATAGGATTTGGAAGGCAAAAGCACCATATAAGCTTATTTGATTTTCAAACCCCAGGGACAAAGACAGCACATTACATCGGGAGGTCAAGGAAAAAAATGAAAGGCTAGGGCCTCTGCTTGTATGCAACTGGAGAATGAAGACAGATGACAGAGAGAAAAACTATTCAGTACCATGCTTGCGGCTTCCAGAATTAGTTTAAGTCAGTGGCAGTGACAGGGCTGCCATCTGGAGACACCATTTCGAATTACATAATGTTTCTTAAGTGCTAGATTTGCAGAGCTGCTGATTACAAGGCCACAACACGTATCACAAAGACTCACATGGGAGGCTGGGATCTCAAAAGCACCTCTGTTCTATTTGTCTCCCATATTGTGTCAAGGAAAATACACACACCAGATTGAAACTGGTAGAGGAAATAAGAATGGGAGAGAGAAATGCAAGGCTCAGAATCAATGCAAAGAGAGTGATAGGAGCCCGGCTACTGGAAATAAGTTCAAGCTTGCTGGCCTGGACTCAGAAAGATAAATATTACATTTAAAAATATTTGTGATTCCTAGACTTTATACAGATGTAGAAAATCATGGCTTGATGTACAAATAGATCTGCCCAAGGGGAACAGGGGGGGCTAATGGAAGCAGT